TATGCTAAATATCATAAATGTGCTAGTATTAAGTTTGAATTGATTTGTTAAAAAATAACTCGAGTTATACTCGATTATATATTTAATCCAAAAATATCTTATTTGAAAACTTAATCATCCTAAACTCATAAGAAATTAAAAATATATAATATATATCTTAGAATTAAGTACTAGTAGTTTTGAAAAAAATGAGATTAACTTGATGAAAATTAACTTAAATTACACTCAAGCTAAGCTTATTACAAAAATTATTATCCTAAATTTATATAAAAATAAAAAAAGTGACAATAAACATATTAGCATCTCACTCTAATAGTTCCAAAGAAATTTGGATAGGTTTGATGAAAATTCAAATAGTTACACTCGATAATAAACTTAACATAAAAATATTTTATTTTAAAAATTAATCATCGAAAATTCATTAAAAAATAAATAAATGATAATAAATATATTAGCATCTCATCGTAGTAGTTTTGAAAAAGTTTAGATAGGTTTGGTAAAAATTTAAAAAGTTATATTCAATTATAGATTCAACATAAAAAATACTCTATTTCATAAATTTATTATCTCACCCTAATAGTTCATGAGAAGCTAGGATGAATTTGCTAAAAATTCAATGGGTTACATTCAATCACTGATTCAACCCAAAAATATCCTCCTTAAAATTTTATTCATCGTAAACTCAAAAAAAAAAACTAAATATCTTAAAATGATATACTAATAGTTTTAGAGAAGTTTGAATTGGCTGGGATAATTACATATTATCCCTTGTAGTTAACTATGATTAGTATCCTGGTCTATATACTTTAAAAAGTAGCATTGGGATCCCTATACATACGAAGGTGAAATATTTAACCCTAAATTTTTTTTACATCGTTAATTTCATCGATGGAAAAAATCACATATGTTATCGCATTAAAAAAAAGACATAAATGAAAAGGATAAAAAATAATTTTTATTAATTTTAAATTATTAATTTCATATAAACTTTTCCTTCCTCCTCTTCTAACCTGCTTGTCTATCGCACCTGCTCACCCATTGCACTTGGTTATGTACATAAGAGCATGCTAATCCTATGGTGTTGTATGTGATTCACTACCTGGGGTTGAAGTCATGGTTATACTTCTAAGACTACGATTGCAATTGAAACTTGCAAAAGTTTTGGGGCTTCGTTAGTGATGCGACGCAAACAACATGGTGGAGAGTGCACGACACACTGCCGGAAGACCTGCAGAACTTATGCCTGTTGACAACTAAGAGGAAGGCTTTCTTGGAGTATCATAGGAGGAAGGTTGAGAAGGTCAACTACCCTAACAGACATCAGAGGCGAAACATTATTGATCCAAGATCGGAGATATGCTCTGAGGCATTTTGCAACCAGTGGATTTTCGCTTCGATAGTGACCTCTCTTATGGTTTTAGCCCCTCTTAATGTTTATTTTAGTCTATATAGTTTTGGCCATGGATAAGTTCTTATGGTTTACTTATGTCTAAATTAATTCTTACATTTTCAAAAGGATAGTATATAAGCTCCTCACGTCAAATTTGAGTTAACAAACATTAGAGTCTGCTTATGTGATATATTGACTCACAATAAATTATTAATATAATGATATATGTAATTTAAGTTTAAAAAAGGGTAAATGTCCATCTTGTCGAGGAAGAGGAAGAGATGAAGGTCGTAACGATGGACGAAAGTGAAGACGAAAAGATATGAGAGGCCGGAGGCAAGGGTGAGAGAGGGCTAGACTACCACGTCGTAAGTGCGATTGGTGGGGGCGTATGAGAGGACGAAGTGGGAAGCGGAGGGGACGAAAACGCCCAAGAGGAGGAAGAGGGACTAGGAGACCACTGCATGCTTAACATCGGATTGGTCGACATGCATCCACCCAAGGTAGGATCGGAAGCTCTTGAGCTCGTCGTTAGTGCGAGAGAAACTACGTGAGTACGACGTTAGTGCGAGAGAGACTACGTGAGTACGTCGTTAGTGGGAGGGGTTTATATACTATGTTTTTTTTAAATACTGGGTTATCTTATACACGAATAAACTATAAGAGCTTAAATGGTTTATGGTCAAAACCATAGGGTCAAAATCATATGGGCTAAAATGGACCTTAACCTTTTATTAAATTTAAATTACATGTGTCATTATATTAATGATTTATTGTGAGTCACTCTAACACCTGTTAATTCAAACTTGATGAGAATGACTTATATATTATATTTTTTAAAAATATAAATATTATTTTAGATATGAGTAAATCATAAGGGCTTAAATAGTCAATGACTAAAATCATATGAGTTAAAATGAACTTTAACCCATACTATTTTTTAAAGTATAAGGATGAAAATACTAATAATAGTTAACTATAAGAGTATAATACGTAATTACCTCAATGAAAATATTTTAGTTATACTCGTTCTCAGATTTAACAAAAGTTTAATTCGATACGAATCAATCCGATTTGAATCACTTAAATCTGACAAAAGTAGCTCGTGGATCTAAAATAGTTTTATTAAATTGCCCTTAAAGCAATTATTGGTTGTTTGTTACCAAACACGAGAAATCATGGTCCAGCCGGAGGCAGCGACGTTGACTTTCTAGCCTACAAGTCTACTGTGCTGGAGCAGTGCAGGAGGAGATGAACATGGTGGCATCAGGCATCTGCCCCTTCTCAAGAGGCTAACTCCATAAGTTATTCCTCCTGAGACTGAGACCCAACCACTTCACCTCTGTGATGATCCAATAATTGTTCCTCTCCTTTCTCCTCCTCCTCCTCCTTCAGCTGCTGCTGCCAGATTCAGCTGCAGCAAATATGGCGATGAGGGCAAACCTGCGCAGATTGTGGCATGGGTCGCAACCGACGCACTCATCGTTGGAGAGCAAAGGGAAGAGCGCACCGGCCTCGAAGCATTCCCCTATTAAGCTTGTAGTTGCCGCTTTGGTTGCCATCCTTGTTATCGTTTTCTTCATCTCTAACAGCGCAGTAAGCATCCCTTGGATCTTCCTCTTCTTCTTTCTGATACTGTGATTTCTATGTCCGAGGTTTTCTTAGGTAGATTTCTTGTTTTCTTTTGAG